GGTGCTGAGCACGGTGCTGCACCCTGCACCAGCCCCTCGAGCACCCACCGCGGTGCTGAGCACCGTGCTGCACCCTGCACCAGACCCACCAGTGCAGCATTGCGCCGGTGCGGAGGGGGCCGTGCGGACGCACACGGTCCCTCCCGCAGCTCGCTGCTCCGCTGGCTGCGAGCGCAGCCTGTGCAAAGCTCCGCGGGGCACGAGGCAGCTCCCAGCTCACGGCCTCCACGGGCCTCCACTGCACACTGAACCCAGCTCTGCACCACCAAGAGCCGGGGCCACAGCCCAGCCTAGCGAGGCAGACCAGGCTCCTATCCCTTCTCCAACAGCTTCCTGCAGGGAGCGTAGCCCTTCTTCGGATAGACTGCCTGTAGAGTGGTGCGACTCATGTACAAATAGTCCCATTTTTAGGGCATTGTGCACCTCCTCCTGCCCCACATCATGCACCCCGTGCCTCCACACACACGTCCTGAGGTGGATGCTTGAGATCCCAGTGCCACCATTCAGCACCTGCCCATGCTGCCCCGTGCCACCGCCTGTTTGGGGGCCTCCCCATGGCTCAGGTGTCCTCTTTGGCCCTCTGAACGTATGGCTGAAACAAGACTTCTTTTGATTCAGGATATCATCCATCCCTATGTTCTTACACGCATCCTCTTCTCATGCCCCCACATCTGGATAAGATGGGTCCTGAGGATTTGCTACTGCACTGAGATTGAAGATTTACAGTAAATCTTTCAGATCAGAAGCAACCCCAGCCTTTCCTAGGCAGGTTCTCCAGCCGGGCTGCTGCGTTCCCAGCAAATCCACATCCACTGCGTGTTCACCGGGACCCCACAGCACACGCGCACGAACGTGGCAGCTCCTGGGAGCTCTCCTCCCAGCAGCGCGCTCTTCCCAGAGCCTCTATCACACTGGACTGCTCAGTTTGCTGGGCACGCACAGGGTCTCAGCGCCTCCTGGCACAGCAGATCTGCACTTCTGCTAAACAGACGGGCACAGCTCCGTGTGTCCGGGAAACCAGGCAGGAACACAGCACCTTCATGAGGAAAATGGTAGAGCTGAAAAAAAACATCATTACTTCTACATGCAAACAGCGTGCACGAAAACAACACACATCCTTACAGGCATTAAGATCCCCAGTGCTACTGTTTTCCTCCGAGTGTTGCACGGATATAAGTGACCAGGCACAATCAGAGCTCTTCTCCACTTGTCTCCTCCTGTGGGAAAAGCCCTCGGGCTCCAGGGAGCCCCGACTCCCGAAGTGCAGCCGTGTCACCGACGTCACCAATACCTGACTAGTGGCATGTCACTAATACCTGCTTTGGGGGACGCAGTTTGGGGCTGCGGAGGATGAAGCCCTGCAGGGCGGGTGGTGCCCGGTGCGAGCCCCATGCCGCGAGTGCCCGTCGAGAGCTCGGTGAGCGCGGCCTCCCCAGGCCCATGCAGACCCTCGCCGGGAGCCCCTCGACACGTGCTGGGGCAGAGCACCTGCGTCCACAGAGCCAGCAGAGCGGCCAACGCGGCCCCGGAGCAGCGGGGCTGCGGGACAAAGAGTGGCTGGCAACACGAAAGCTGGTTTGGCCACCGGAGAGAAGTGCACGGCAAGCCTTCCAGAGGCAAACAGATGGGGTGGGTGAGGGAGTGAGGGAGTGAGTCACCACCGGGCATGTTTTCCAGCTCCAAAAGCTGCTGCAAACAGCACGGCTCTGCACTGCTCCGTAGGTGAGGGCCCTGCACAGCCCTCACCAGGGACCCCACCACAGCAGCACTGCAGCACTGGATGCATGGATGCATGGATGGATGGATGCTCGCAACCATCACACCTCACTACGGCCAAGGGGAACGGCTCTGCTTCCTCGGTGCTTCTTGTGCACATGCCACACACAGTGAGCTAGCAGCGGTACCAGAACTCCAAGAAGCCAAACTAGGAAGTGCAGAAAAACTCGCTCTCATGGGCATGTCTGGGCCAAGCGCGCTACTGCCAGATCTGTCACCTGCAACAACAATTAAAGATGATATAGAGCACATTTAGACAGAGGAGAATAAGCGCACGACTGCAAACTTTCGAGATTGCATGCACATGCTTCGGAAGCCAAGTAATCTGTGAAAGCACAAGGGTGCTGGGTGCTGCGTAGCGTTACCAGTGAAGGGAACGGCTCCCTCCTCCAGCCGCACCTGCACCCAACAGCAGCACAAACCAGGTGGGATGCAAAGAGGAGAAGCCCAGGAAGAGGCCGTGGAAACGCTGCATGGAGCCGGCAGCAGGCGAGCTTCAGCCTCACACCTGGAGGAGCCTCTGCAGCTCCCTGGAAACCTCTGCACAAGGATCCGCCGGGAGAACGAGGGAACGGCTCCCGACTCTGCATGCAGCGGGAGGAGCGGAGCTGCCGGTGGGGAGCAATCCCAGACACCGGGCACCGGTCCATGCCCGACGAGGATGCCTGGTTTTACCGGGAGCAGCAGATCTTGTCACACCAACTGCGAATAGAGAGGCTCCCGTCTGAGCAAGCAGCCTTCAGGATAAAACTCAGCTGGGAAACACTGCTCGGAGTTTAGCTCCAACACACGAAGCTTTAGGAAAGTTCACGTAGGGCACACAGAGCACCAACCACTTGTGCAAACTGGGACATCAGCAAAGCGGTGAGCGAGGAGACAGCCACTGCCGGCAGGAGAGGCAGCAGAAAGCACTTCACTCCCACGGAGCAGCGAGGGAGGCAGCTGCAGGGAACATTCGCGTTCTGCTTCCAAATCCCCCCGATTCTGGGTGCCGGTGGGATCCCGACGCCCGGCGCTCGGCCGCGGGGCTGCAGCGGGAGCGAGGGGCCGTGCAGGGCTCCATGTGCTCCCGCTGGGCCCGGCCCTCGGGCCGCTCTGCAGCACAACCCGCGCTCACGCTCGCTCCTGCTCTCGCCACGCGCTACGTGCGGCACCGGCGTGCACAGGGAACGTGCGGGGGGCTCCGCAGGGCTCCACAGGTGCCAGGATCGCCTCTGACCACAAGAGGTGGCATGCAAGGGGGACGAGCCGGGAGAGAAGTTGGGAAACTGGAAGATGGGGATCCTGGAAATGTCCTTGCCAAGCTCTGGCCGCCTGCCGGGATCCAGGGCAGGTGCCACAGGGCCAGCAGGCGCTGTCCCCAGCGCCGCAGTGCGTCCACAGCCCTCCACGATGCTCAGGAAGAGAAGCCCTCGCAGAGAGACACTTCATGGCGACTGAACAGCCTCCAAGCCCGCACACTGTCAACCAGAGCTGCACTTGGAAAAGCCTCAGGATTTTTAGCAAGGACTGTATCAGCTGGAGAAAACCGGGGAGCAAGAGGTTCCCAGAGGTCACAAAAACACAGGGAAAAGATCGTGTTCACTGAGGAACAGCAAAGAGCTTTAGGTTTTTCCAGGCTGCAGCACGGCTTTGCAGCCTGCAGACTGTTAAAGTGACAAAAAGCAATAAACAGAATAACTGTAAGAATATTTCTGAACAGGCACGCAAGCCAGGGAACATGCAAACCAGATACAAAACTAGCAAATGAAGATTCAAAACCTAATTTTAATTTGATTTTACTGCAAGTAAGAAAAAAATGTGGCAGAATGTTCCTTGCATGTTTTGTGAAAGGGCTTCCTGATTCGCAGAAGAACGCTGAAAAAAGCGAACCTTAAAAGGTCTGAAGGGAGACGTGCCAGCAGCTCCAAAGAAGTTAAGGACGGCCACGGAGAGCGCAAGGAGGGTGAATCATGAGACAGGATCGCCGAGGTTCTGCAGATGGAACCGGCAGAGCGGCGCGCAGGGGCCAGGGAGGGAGGGCGCCAGGCCGGGCGCCGCAGCCCCGCGGCTGGGGTGTCCCCACCCCGGCCGACCGGCCGAGCCCACCGAGCGCCGCTGCTGCCGCCAGGGCTCGCTCGGCCCCTTCCTGCCCCTGCCCCAGCACAGACCCGGCTCTGCACTGCATGAGGCCCACACCAGCAGGCCTGGGCAGAGCCTCGTCCCATGGCCAGCACAGACCCGGCTCTGCACTGCATGAGGCCCACACCAGCAGGCCTG